CCTGTACACTCCTGTGCCTGTGCCGTCTCGCACTCAGGCATCTGTTTCAGTTTTCTGGTAGTTGTGGTACTACCATACTTCACTACCACTACATCAGTCAGTTTTTTATTCTCAAGTGTGGAGACTAACCATTCTTTAGGAAAGCAAACAATAGCTTGGCATAATCTGCCAAAGACAAGAAGATTAAAGTTTCTTTCAGCAACAGTTGTTTTAGCAGTCTTACAATACAGGGAACCTCTTCCACGGATTTCAGTGTTTTGTTGAGGTTTTTTTTTCCCTGTTGGTTTTGGAACAGATCCTAACCCCCAAATTGCTTTCAGGTATGGCAGGATGTTCACTGCAGAGTACAACATTATAATAAGAGCCCACAGGATGCTGAGTATGTACTTAGAGGTACATAGCATGCTCTTCTCCATCCTGGCTTCTGTTGTTTATGAGTCCTAGTATACTCATTAATAAATAGGCAATCCTGCTTTCACGCTGCATTATTCTTTAGCACTTCTCAAACAGCATATTCCTTTGCTGCTATGTTAAATTAACTGGTATAACATCATAATGGATTTCAGAGAGAAGTACACCATTACAAGTGTAGCTAATTCTGTCTTTAAGCTATCTGCTCAACTTGTATGCTCTGCTGCGTGTCAGAAGCCAGGACCTCCTCTCCTCAGTTTACACACTGTTGCTCTACACTTACAAAGACAAAATATTCTGAGAAGTAACTTAGTTTGCAGAATTCCAGAAGAAAATGGATTGTTCAGAATCCGTTGCAGCTGGTGAAGATGTTTAGGATTGCTCCTTGTCCAGCAACTGTTGTGTCTCAAGGTAGCCTGATTAGAAAAGGTCTGTAACCTGAATAAGGAAAAAAAAAAAAAAAAAGAGAAAAAGAAGATAAATGGTTACACATATGCATGTATAAGCATTACTGAGTTCTGCATTGACTATGGATTATAATAGCTGGGTGAAGGAAGTTGGTTTTGAGCGCGGCACAAAATTTCACAGAGAGCATATGAAAGCAAGCTTTTTCCATGCCCGGAAAGAAAACCATGAAGGGATTTTTTCCCCAACTGAAAATCCTCATAAAACTGGAAGTCTGAGCTGGTGGGACACAATTCAGTAAGAGGAGAAAAAAAGTTTTTTGGTGGGGGACTCATTAGTGCAAGAGAAAGCAGTGACTGGAGAATTGCAATTTTGGTGTTAGGTGGTTTTAGAGCTTGAGAGAGTTATTCCATGAGCTTAAAAATGATTATGGCAAGACTTCTCCTCTGTGGAAAGGGACAACTGGAAAAACTGACTACACTGAGACCTGGCTGTTTGCCTGAAAGTGGATGGAACAGGAATGAAACAGTATAGTTTATTCTGAGTATGGATTATACAGAGGGATTCATAAAAGAAGCTGACAAAGCTACAGACAGAAAATTGGCCAGAAAGAGCATGGCTGTTGAAGAGAAGTGGCTAACTGCTAACTTGGAACCACAAAACCTCAGACATACTATATAACATTTGGATTTTGACCCACCTGATTATGTAGCAACACAAAAGCAAACAAGCAGAACACACATTATACTGGAATAATGAAGCTGCAAAAACATTATGATAATTTATAGCAGCCTAGACCTGGTGATACTAATGTCTCTAAATAGCTGAAACAACTGCTTCTTAATTATAAACATATAACCGAAATATTGTGTCATTGACTTGAAAAGAATCAGCAGGCCCCAGACTATGTTTGGCTTCTGTTCTATGTTCTGGGTAATCTAACTGTTTGAAAACATCTCAGATGACCAAAATGGGTAACTTAGACGAGGCGCTGCTCTTCATGCAGAGCAGCCTTGTCTCACGCAGGGCAAGAAGCTTCCATAAGGTTTAATCTGGAGAAGATCTGAAGACAGTATAGCTGTTTCACAATGTAATCTTTCCTTCTTTCAGTGATTATAGTAATTAAAAAGAGCTTCACTTAAACTTCTTGCTGAGATAATTTTCAGTCCAGCTGAAACACAAAACCCAACTGGGATGGGGTGGAAGAAGTCAGCAGTTTGGGGAGAAACGATCTAAAAAAGTAGAAATAGAAAATTAAAAGTTTAGTTGGAACTTTCAATAAAGGTTACACAGACGACAGTTTATCTGCTCCAGCAAGTGAGATTAACATCTGCCAAAGAGCAGTCAAGTGGTTTCTTCAGAGAATTCAGGGGGTTTTGTATAATTGCTTTTTCTTTTTTTTTAATTGACCAATAGCAAAAAGGTGGCATCAACCTTATGATGGTGCAAACCAATAATGCAGTACAAGTGACTCAGAATGGTGCTATGAGCTATTCTTCTGTTGGCTAGATTGTTTCCAGCCTGGAGAAAACACATTTTAGAGAACAGGGTTAATCATGTGATTTTGAAGAGGTAACCATTATATGGGAAGAGGAAACACCCCCTCCCTGTGAACCAGACACTTCAGGGGTACACAACCATATACTCTCTATATTGTCCTCACTGCCATACCTGCAGAGTTATATTCTGGGAAGAGTTTCTGACCAGTTTGTACATTCACCCTGTGCAGCGTGAAAAAAAGGTGAGCCGTCTCTACCACAGTGCTTGTGGGACCTCTGGGTGAAGAAACTTTAGTCTGAGTTTATGATTCAGATGGGAACTCAGGTGTCCCTCTCACATGAACATTTTTGTTAAGGCCATGAAATGATTCCAGGTTTGAAAAGCTAAACATGTGCTCAAGCACCTTGCTAGCTTGAGGCCTACTCTAGTGTCTTAGCTGGGTAGCAGAGGCTGATGCATTAGGAAACTGTGGGGCTTTTCTTTGCCTAGGATGTATGTGGCTCTTCAGTACTTGTCAATCTTAAATTAGCGTTCAAACCTGTCTGCTGAATACTCTTGTGCAGCAAACAAGGTGTGGGGCGGAAACATTGAGTTTGTTACGTGCGTTTCAAAACCATGTGATGTGGAAATCATGTTCTTCGACAGACTAGAATGTTACTAAATGTAAATTCGCTCCATCGACAGCAGGGGGATGCCAGAGGAATGATGTCAGTTGAGAATCTGCTCCGGCATATTTTGCAATATTCAAATTAAATTAAAGTAAGGATTTAAAATTTACACATGTAGGTATTTAGACATTTGCAGCTGTGAGCTTGCAGGTGATGCTATGGTGATAGGTACATGAGAGGCGTACCATCAGCCAAGGAAAGGAAATCAAATGGTGTGTGACATCTACTGCTTCCCAGAAGTACTGGCTGTAAGGTAGCGCTGCTGTTACCATGAAGTCCCAGGAACGTTTAACATTACCAGTCCTGTGGAAAGCACTGCGTTTTTCAGCATAGAAGCTGCTGCTTATAAATATGCTTAGGCACTGCAAAGATGCTTATGTTTGCCTGAGAAGAATTTGTCTGTCCTTTGCAAAGGGGCACAGAGCAGCAGTTAAAAGGAAAAGGAAACACATTTCCCTTTTTCCCTTAGGGCTGTCCTTGCTGGCTTAGGGAAGCTAACCATGCCGCAAAGTTTCTGAGGTCAGCACTAATGTTGCTGGGGAAGAGGAAAGACAGCATAAAGCTACCTGACCTGGGATCAAGAAAACTGTTGCAGAATGGTCTCCCACAGAGCATAAAGATACTCTCGGCTACTGCAGCTGCTGTAGTGTAGCCTCTTTCCTTCGATCTTGCTCCCTATCTGAAAAAACAGCCAACAAGTAACGAATCACAACTGTACTCTAATACAAGTAGAATAGATTTAATGCAAATGTCTCCCCCCCCCCCCCAAAA